ACCTCAACAAAAGAAAATCCTACAAAGAAGAAAATTGATTGGCCTGTCCCTGGTGCTCCCTTTGGCAGGTGTGAGTGAGAAGCTGCTGGATATGGAGAGGAGTAGAGAAAATACAAGATCTTATGAGAAATAAGATAATATGAGAAAAATATAAATAGCTTACAAAAATGTAGCAATTTCAGAATGTTTTCATATGTAGCAATATAAAACTTTGAACACCAACATGCCAGGGAACAGAAAAGTATGCCAAAAGAATACGTTACACACATATTCTGTGTAACATTCGTTACCTTCAAAATCCACTGTGTCAAGATCATGGGCTGCAGGTGCAGCTTTGGATCCTCATGCATAGCTTTCAGTGATGTAAAAAAACCCCCTGGAAGTAATTGTAAATGCACTTTGCCATTAAAAGGCAGATCAATTGCATTAATTTTCTATATTATAACAAAGTGTGGTAGTTGGCTGCTAATTGTAAATAAAGACATAGCATTTTTTAACTTTTCAGTCTTCAGGTTTGAGGTTTTTTTTAGGGATTAAGCTGGAAGAGGTTTGGAAGCAAGCCAAGTGTCAGTGGTGTTACTCTTACAGATTTTATCACAGCATCCAGTCCAAAGAATGGATCTCAGTCTTCTTGCACTTCTAAAACAAATCCAAGTGGTTTGTCAGGTTTTGTCAGTCTACCTTGTCCATTGTTGTATTTTTCCTTCATCATATAAGCAATTTCTCACATGAAACTCTTGACTCACAGATGGTCATATTGTCAGAAGGAAGCAATATCAGAAACTGGCTAGCTTTAGGTTTGGATTTTTTGTGATTTTTTTCACATTAGCAGCATATGGTTTAAGTCTTGTAAGTTGTATTTGTGAGAAGACACTATTCCCTTATCCTGCGGAACTGAGAATAATCAAAAGGGTGAGGCCTGTAAAAGGTACAATTTAGTATGAGAGAATAAAAATCTTAAGATTCTTGTAATGGAATGAGGTAATCCATAGTATATAAGTATAGCTATAGAATAAAAATACAGAATCAAAGCCAGAGCAAAATTCAGTACTGGTGTTTCTTAATTCTGAGAAATTGTAATATTCTAAAACAGTAATATATATATATATATATATATATATATATATATATATATATATATATATATATATATATATGTAGGGGGTACTAGATGACCTTTAAAGATAATTTTCAACCCAACCTTTTATAATACTTATTGAGTTAATGGATTTTTTTGAAATATAATTTTAATTAGCATCTACATTTGTAATTTGATACTGTAAAATTGGTCTCTCTTATTTTGGTACAGAATAAGTAATTAATGATTCATCTGTTCTTACAGCTAGCCAATTTATATTTTATGTTGCCAGCTGGTTTATGATATGTCAGAGAGACAGAGAAAGGTATCATGGGTGTACTATATAAAAAATACAGGTTTTTTCTACTGTTACATAGACACAAACTAATCAGAAAGTGAAATTATGACCTTACATTACTGAGGATATTATGAAAAGTGCATGTTCTGAGAATTATGAGAAACAGATAGCTTGTAAGCAGAAAAGACAAAAGTATTTCCACAACTGAGTAGAGAATTCTGTAACTGGAATTGGAGTATTAAGTTACTCACCAGTGATATTTTTACTGGCCCCCTTAACTGGATCATCAATGTCATATGTTGGAGGTACTTATATTACTGGGTGTTCTCTTTAATTTTATCATTTTTACTGTGTCAGCTTTTATTATCATTAACAACTACCCTCACAGGCTCAATTGTGTCCCAGCAGGATTTCAGATTATTCCTCAAATTACAGCAATTTGTCAAAATGTCAATGTTCTTTAACCTCTAACCCTAGGTTACCTACAGAGGCTGCAGAGCCTGGAATTCGTGTGCCACAGATTCAATTTATATTGTGTGTAAACAATTACAGGGCCTCACAAACAAACAAAAGGTAGCCAAAGTCAAAACTAAAGGTCAGGGTCTAGCTTGTCATGGATCCATTCTAATTGCATTTTTTTTTCCAAATGGAATATAGGCAATGCAGTAGCACTGGCTCTCAGCCATAAAATGTAGAGGTGAGTTAGGCTCTTGTTATAGCAGAACCTTTACTGGTGGTGGCAGGAACAGAATTTTGAATAATTGCTGTGGCAACAAGTATGTCTCATTATATGTAAAAGTTTTCAGGAGTTTTGATGGTACGGTAAGAGAGAAACAAGCAAAACAATCTTGAAGCTGAAAGAATGTTCTAGTTCAGGAACACCCAAAGCTGGGGAAGGGGAGGGAAGAGAGTGACTGTTCATCCTCTGGCTGCTCATGTGAGCCCTCAGTGCCGGGGAATGTGGCACTGGGTGGTCTCAAAGTGCTGAGCCAGCCCTGCTGCCTGTGCTGGCCAGAGCTGTCTTACAGCACCCAGCAGTGCTGATGTTTGCCCACAGCGATAAGCTGTGGGACAACTCAGCTGCACAGTGGAGGTTGGGGCAAATTTACCATAGTCACAAAATGTGTGGGAGATGTTGGAGTGTCAGAGAGAAAATTGGAGGGTTAAATGCAATGTAGAATTGCAATTTTTTGGGTTCTCCTTTTATTCCTTTGTTATTATTTCAACTGTTGTTGAAATATGTTGACCTGCTTGTTTTTCCTTGATTTTTTCCTGTAACAGTGTGATATTATAGAATATATTGTTTACTGTGCTTCCTTTGAAATGATACTATATAAAATCTGTGGTCTATTCATGTGTTTTCTGGTGAATTTGAAAAGCTCCCATTATTAGCACAAATAAAAGATAAATCTTCCTGGTTTACTATAGATTAATTGAACAATTAAGAAGCCACTCTTAATTACTGTCCTAAGGAGTTAGAGAAATTACACTTCTCAGAGTGCTACTGAGGAAATTTTTAGATTAAATTTCTTTAAATAGAACTATGCAACTTGCATACTGCCAGATGTTTCTGCCATATCATATTTGAAAGATTTTTTTGATCATATTACCTGAAATATTTTTTGATCATATTACCTGAAATATCTGCATGTTAAAATTTGTAAAATTTGTAACTGGTATGAGGATGAGATTTATGGTTTGATACGAAACAGTGCTTAGCTGTATGCTTTAATACACTTGGATACATGTAGTCAAACTCATAGGGTGCCACTTCATGGAAATGGCTAAATTTACCATGTTGTTCCCATTTCTGCACTGAGTTTCTGAAACGAAGAAATTACCTTGAAAACTCAAGCCAGGCTTAGAGTATCTCTTGCATGCATCCATTTAGCCTAACAGAAAATGCTACTGTATTTCCTTTTTGTTATGTTTCTGACACTGTGTTAATGTGGGTTAGCTTTGATGGAAGGGGTGTGCAGCAGTATTGTCTGGTAAGCAAGAATCATTTTCCAGGGAGATAGGATCATTTAAAATCTTATGCAAGTCGACAATGTTTATGGGCAAAGCAAAGCCATGACAACTAAAAATCAGTGACACTTAGCTATGGGATAATCAGAACAAATCAGGATCACGAGCAGTGTCAGCAATCAGTGAGGCAGGTTATGAGGTGAGAATGGCAGTGGGGGTGTTGGTGGAGAAATTCTGTAACTAAAGAGATTACATAAATGACAGTGAGTTTGAGGAACAGCCTATAGTCATTAGCATATGGAATTTCATCTTCTCTGGAGGTCCTCAAAAGCTGTTTGGATGCAATCCCAAGTAGTGTGCTTTTGGGGACCCTGCTTGAGTTGGAAGGTTAGACCAGGTGACCTCCAGTGCTCCCTGCCAACCTTAACCATTCTGTGACTGTAATTTTGTGATTATTGTAGACACCATTATTTCAAGGTGTTTATGCCCTCCCACCCCATAAGATACACCAACCCCCTCTCTGACAGCGTGCATTCATGGCATGAGGGATTAAAGGATACACCTCCTGGTGTATCAAGTATTTTCTCTGAAAAAACTTGATGTCTCTACAAAAGGTCAGCTTTTGCTGATGGGGTCTGCAGTGTTTATCCTCTTCTGCTATGCCCACCATGTTGACTTTTGAATTTGCTTTTATTCCTGCCAAACTGCCATAACTACAGCTCACTTCCCTGCTTTCCCAGACTACTCATTTGTTTTACTGCTTCTGTTCTGTCCTCACATACCTGGTCACTGTGCCCTCAGGTATTGTGTCTCATAGATGCCTTCTTCATGCCTCCCCAGGTAGTTGCTCCGTGAAACTTAGAAACATCATTCTCTTTTCTTTGATTTATAATTGTCTTAACCATACCATTATTACATTACATTTCCCATGGTTTGGTCTTTGCCTTGTGCTGGCTCAGCAGTTCATTAGTGGAAATTAGTTCATTCTCTTACAGACTACAGATGTGCTAAGGCCTAGCATTTATGCTTGCTCAGCAACTGTGTTAATCCCTGTCTAGCTGTAAGTAAGGTTAAATATAATTTTGCAGAGTTCAGCAAAAGTTGCACTATTAAGTGGCGACACCCCTTCTTTTTTTTTTTAAGTGGTTCTTGAGGCACTGGGTCTTGGTTTTGCTTAGCAGATCTTTCTTCTCCAACAACAGGTTATTGGCCTCTGTTTAGTGAGGGCTCCAGTTTTCCCCTTTGCCAAGTTGAATTTTCTCTTACACACTGTTGCATGCAGTTGTGGTTCCAGATCCTGTTCAGGTGACTGTTTTTCTGTTACATAAAGTAATTGTCAGTGTAAAATCTTGAATCTGACCTCAGGTTTGGCTCAAAAATTTCAGATCCTAGCCACGATGAGCATCTCCATCACAAAGACACAGATGTGTTCATTTTGCTTGGGATAGTTTCTGGTTTTACAAGTAAACAAGTAATACATTTTTTATTAATGCTTGGGGCAATTTAAGCAGGAAATACGGTAAATGGCCATACACAGTTTTTTTTTTTTTTTTTTTTTTTTTTTTCTTTTCCTTTTTTTTTTCCTTGTTTTTTTTTGTTTTTTTTTTTTTTTTTCTCTCTCTTGAACTAAAGAGGCTGGCCCTGTAATCTGCTTATAACTTAGCAGCACACAATTATATAATAAGGTAGGACTGTCTTCCATTTTTTTTCAGGGAATTATACTCAGTGTTACCACCTATTTGGGCTAT